GGAACCCACCCCGCAGCCGCCCCGGGACGGGGAACCGCGAGAGGAGTCGCCCTGGAGCGCCCTCCGCGCGGGCTTTGGGTTGGGAGAGCGGCGCGGACTCGCTGGGAGAGCGCGGATCTCCAGGGCCCCGAGGATTGCAGGCGTCAGCCCGGAAATCACACACAGCCTTTCTGGCCCTGTCCCAGTTCGAAAACCCGGAGATTTTCAGTAAGAACCCAGGGTGTACAGTAGATCAATTTAAGATGTGGAGGAGCGGAAATCGGGAACCCCTAAACTGGGCTGGCTGCTTACCTGAGCCAAAATGTGTCGTTTCAAAGTCAAGCCAGCAAAAGCCCTATATACACGAATTTTAGAAAATCAAATGCACATCAAAGTAACTTCTGTTAGATTTCCATATATTTTTATACCTTAGTTTGTACGATAAATATTTGAAAGGAGCCAAACTTGCCATTTATATTTTAAATTAATATTCTTCCGATTAAAAGAAGGTTTTTATAAAGCACCGACCTGCAAAAATTAGCCTCTGTCTTTTTAAAAAGCAAGCAGTGCCGGGTACAGCATTTTCTGGCGGATGTAGCCAGAAACCCCTGGGAGGCTGAGACCATGCCTTCCTGTTGACAAATAAGCTTTTGGGTGTTTTAATGGTTATGGGTACGACTTTGAGTCAGAGTAATGTTGGCATGCCCATTTTGGGTTTAAAAAATATGAATTTTAGAAAGTCACTTTAAAGCTGCACTTTGAAAAACCTTAGGGCTTAAATTTACATTTAAAAGAGGTGCTTTCTCCCCTATGCTGTGTAAACACCCCTCCTCCCCCTTATGAAGCTGTTCCGGTCATATGGAAGTCTAGGGTAAAGCCCTGCCAGTCATCACATCTCTAAGCGTCTGCTAACAGCCGGGCACATTGCAGACCATGAGCTCCTCATAAATGGGGAGCCCTTTTGATGCTCTGTGTTGGTAAAATTACTTTCACAAGTCATTTGTGAGACAAAGCGAAGGACTAGCAGAAATTCCATTCCCACCCTGGCAGATTAACTGACCCACTTGATTGCTTACTAATAGGCCTTGAAAGAAACTAGAACCACAGGCCCTGACCCAGAGTCTCTGTTATTGGTTTCTATTTACAGAAATGACTCCAGGCCTGTCTGGCAAATGACAAGAATTTGGTAATTGTCATTGTTCCCCCACCTTTTCTTTTTAATTTCTGAAACCACTATCTGGTCAGTAATTAGTGTTCTTATGTTGAAATAAGGAAAAGTTGGATAGGACTTTTTTTGTTGTTGTTTAGTTTTATGTTTCTGCCTAACCATTTTCTACCTCTCCTGACATCTACTCTGAAGTCTTCTGGGCTTGAGTTGGAGTTTGTTTACATACGAAGTGTCCCCACATCTTCAATCCACAATAGAGCAGTGCATGGAATTGGAGCCTAGAGGGGTGACTGGATCATGTGGGAGCTGAGTCATGGATCGATTAATCCACTGATATGTTCATAGCTGAATGAACCATGGAAATTGGAGCCCAGTATTAAAAAGTAGGTCATGGAGGATATACCTGTGATATGTCTTGTCCTCCAGCACCCATCCACTTCTCTCTCTCTCTTTCTCTCTCTCTTTTGTCTTTGTCTCTGCCTTGCCTTCCTGACTGACATGAGTTGAGCAGTTTTTCTCCACAGTGCACGTCCTCTGTGATATTTCTGACTTGGAGCCAACCAACCATGGACTGAAATCTCTGAAACCATGAGCCAAAATAACACTGTCCTCCTTTAAATTGCTTTTCTCAGGTATTTTGTCACAGCTCTGCTATCATGCACAAACATTGCAGTAAAAGTATCTGCTTTAGGGTCAACTTCCTTGGCAAGTTGCAAGTCCCTTGAGGAAGGAACCATGACATAATTATCGCTCCCCAGAATTTTGCATGGTGTCTGAAACATACTGTGCTCAAATAAACATTTATTATTTTAAACATTAGTAGATTTAATTTTAAGTTGTGACAGTTTAGGTCAGGCATATTAACTTGGTTTCAAAGCTGAAGGTACAAGAATAGAGACTATTAGACATGGTGGTAGTCAACTAGAAAAGCAGTTGGTCACCCTAGTTGTGTGGCCCATGCAGTGTTAGCAACTGGAAAATGAGGCAGCATTAGTAGACAGTCTCTACACTACTGATATTTAAGTGATTAAAATGTTTATTGAGCACCTACTATGCCAGACACTGAGGGGGAAAATGACAAGTTAAGACATCAGCATTGCCCAAAAGGCACTTGAAATCTTTTCTGGAAAAGCCTATACTCACAGCCTGCCTTTACAGAAACCCACTGGTATTGGTTAAAGACATGAGCTATGTTCACAGAAGATGAAGGCTCAAGGATTGAACTTGAAATAAACACAGCTGACCTATGAATTTGGTCAACATGCTGCAATAGCAGTAATTGATGTAACTGGAGATTCTGTACACAATGAATTATCTAAGCTCCATCTTTTGTTTTTACAAGCATTGCCTCAGAGCTGGGATCTCCTCATTTTACAAATAGGCAAACTGGAGCTTACAGAAGGAGAGCAATTTGTTCAAGGTGACATATGAATAGAGGGTTGCTCTTAACCAAGTTTGCTAGTCTTTAGCTCAGATGCTTCTGTTTGGCCTTTTGTCATTGAGTAAGGTTATTGAAAAGGAGGGATTTATCTAGGGCAGCTCGCCTCCAGTAAAAACTAGATTCCTACTCCAGTGCTCTTTGTAATTCAATGGTTTGCTTGCTCATTTTGCTCATGATTGTGTCTCCTACCAATATGCAACATGCATCAGGATGGGAATGGATAGGGGATGAAGGAAGATCCAGAGAAAGGGAGGCAAGGAGAGAGGGAAAAGAGTGTAGTTGCTTATTCCGAGGATGTGTAAGATCCACATTCAATCTGCCTGTTCTTCATGGGGATTTTACCTGGAACCCCTATTTACTTGAGCTGCCCTGTGTGCCATCTCCTTTCATAATGGCCGCTTGCATCTTTAAGGTTAGTAGCATGAATATTAAAGAGTCCAGTGGGATTCTTTAAAAGCAGAGGAAATTGGGATCAGGTTAAAAATCCAATTTTAATAAACTTTCCAAGTCCCGATTTAGATGGTGTGCTAATAGCTCTTACTGCTGAATCACCTGAAAAGTCAAATGTATTTTTAAAAGATCTTCGCTGTGTGGAAAGTGAATATTGCTTAATTGTGCATTGTGCATTCATTCTGGTCTTTATAGAAAAAGATAATCTGTAAAACTGAAGAGAGCCCGCTAGGAAATGCACCTATCTACGAGCTGGCTGAGTGAGGGGAGTGGGTTGGGTTTGTAAGATAATTTTCACTGGTTTTGACCAAAACAATGAGAGCATGATTGCTCTGCCAGAAAGTGTTATCCTCAAATAACTCCACTAATTTGATTGTGCTGAGGTCTAGAATTGTTTCTGTTTCTTTTGATTTGCTAATTAGCCAGAGCAGTGAGCTTGGGAGGAAGGAAATGAAGGCCATGCCCACAAAGCGTGGAGGAGTTGAGTCCTTCCAACTCCACTCCCCTCGCATTGTCCCCACCCGCTCCTCATTTGTCTCTACCTGTGCTCAGAGTCCACCCATCTCTGATGAATGGTTTCCTGGATAATCGTTTTTTTTTTTTCTGAGCACATGACTTTTGTTCCCCTTTATCACACCACATGTACTGTTGGAGTGTGTGGTTGTAGGGCAAGTCATGACTTAAGTGACTTTTGCCTCAGTGGGCCCCTTCCTCACTGCTGTGGTTGGAGTCTGAATGACCCCCTAGTGCCCATCTGTGACAGGTTTAGTCCCCCAGGTGGTGGCCATGGGAGGTGATGGAACCTTTAAGAGGTGGGGTGTATCGGGAGGTTTTTAGGTCATTCAAGGTGTGTCTATGAAAGAGATTGAGGTGATTCTCCTGTGAATCTTGGTCTTTCTCCCCTCAGAGTGGTGATAAAGGGGCTAGCCTGCTCCATGTCCCCCAGCTTCCTGGCTCCTGACACGAAGGCTTGTTCCTGTGTTCCCACAACATCCCAACCCACCTTGAGTTGATGCAGCTAAAGGAAACCCTTGCAAGAATCTGCACCATGCTGTCTAGACTCTCAGTTTCTGTAGCTGTGAACTACATCAACCTCCTTACCTATGAGTTAGCCTGCTTTTGTATTTTGTTATAGTAACAAAATGGTGACTAACGCACACATATTATAATTATACTTTGTGAGTGCGTTGATATAAAGATGAATGTATTATTCCTGTTGGGTTAAGAGTTTTTTTTTTCACCTCAAGGTTTATTTTTTCTTATGATCTTAACAATAAATTATTCTATTTTGAAAGGTTCTAGAAGCCTCGAAAGCTCCTATGGGCTCCAGGCACTGAGCCTATGACTTTTGATGGCCCTGTTAGATGACACCACAGAGCATGAGTGCTGAGCTGATTCAGGTAAAGGGAGTCTGTTAAATACTATTTCCTATAAATAGCTCCTAGTTCATCCATTGTGCTGGATAAACAACTTTAGACAACATATTGCTTTTATTTATGATCTTCTGTCAAACTTTGCCCCAAATTACACACATTAGTGCTACCAGAATTGCAATATTGCAGGCTTGAAGTGGTCCTCTGTTCAAATTATTATATCCTGCTGAGTGCTGGAATGCCTTCAGGGCAACGGAAAATTGTGGCACTCTGTTTGATTTCAGGTTTGCTGGGAACAAAGCCGGCTGATGCTCTGATGAGTGGGTCTCTATGATTTTCACCTTTATACCTTGTTCAAAGATACTGCTAAGTTCACTGTGATCAGGAAAAAAAACAAAAACAAAAACAAAAAAGTAACCTTTTCTCGCTCCCTCAGTTCAGTTGAGCCAGCCAGCACTTACTAGGTATTTGTAGCAGAGGGTGGATGTTTACAGGAATGCATGGAATCCAGCAGTTCCTCAGAGCTCCTGTGTGTGTGTGAGCCCAGTTTAACAACGCTCTTGGGTCTGGTTCTCTGGGTACAGAGGAAGTTGGGGTGACATTTGCTCTATGATCTTCCACCTTCCCATCTTACCACCACCTCTCCAACCCAGGCAGCTCCTGGTGTCCTCTCTGGAGTCTTCACTGAAACCCTCTGGACATGGCCCTATGGTCCTCAAAAGCTCAGGGCACTGCGGTCTTCCTTGGAAGCTTTCTTTAGATACCAGATTTAAAGCAGAGCCAAGGCCATACCAACTAGAGTCCTCTTTTTGCACACATTTGGAACACTCTTCCTATGAAAGGGTTTGCAATGACACTTATATATGTATATTTTTTTGCTCCTCTGTGGTAGTTGTACATATGTCATAGAATACTTTGAAGCTCAGGTAATTCATTCCTGATTGCAAAAGGTACTAACATTTCTATTGAAAACTATCGAAGTAGTTTACCTGAATACTTACATGATACTTACTGTAAACTAAGTTTTGTAAACTAAAGGAAGATGGATATACTGTGTAAAGTTAGCAGAACCCACCAGGCATCCTGTGGAACCAGACTGAGGTGCTGGGTGTGCGCCTGGGATAAGTCATGGCATTCATGGGGCGGCTGTATGTTAGGTTTGTATATATTCTCCTGTTTCATATACAAAGAAAGAAGTTAAAATTGTAGTTCACCTGTTCCAAGATGCAGCCAGCAGTGCTGAGTTTTGAAGGAGGTCAAGGTAAAATCTTACCGTCCTTTCTTACTTAAATATATGCGCATCACAAACCTAGAGAGAGGACGTAAGCATCTTTTCAAATGGAAGAGAGTTACATTCTTCATGGTTTCACAGTGGCTTGCATTCTAGGAGTGTAGCTATTCATAAGGTATAAGTTCAATATTCATATTATCGTTGTAAACGCATCTTTTCAAATGGAAGAGAGTTACATTCTTCATGGTTTCACAGGGTGCTTGCATTCTAGGAGTGTAGCTATTCATAAGGTATAAGTTCAATATTCATATTATCGTTGTAATCACATTCTGTAAACTTAACAACAGAAGAAAATAGTAGGCTTAAAAGCTCAGCTCTTGGTGCAGTTGTTTTTGTCTCCCCGCGGCTGCTAAAGAATTGTCATGTTCTGGCAAAGTTCACCTCACATCGAGGCCCTTGATTTCTCATGGTGTTTCAGATAGAGCTCAGCTTCTGTAGCAGCGGCCGCTTAATCGATTCAATATCACTCAGTCCTTTAGCTCCTAATCCCTGCCCAGGACTTGGGTAGACCTGGAGACATAAGTGAGCCACAGTCAGAACCTGTATCTGCCTGGCGCTGAGTTTTGGAGAGGTGCTGGTGATCACTCTCTTTGGCACAAAGAATGCTGCCCGCCAGCTCCTGTTCCTCCTCCTGAATCATCCGGCCTTTCCGGATTTGGAATTTGCCTCCTCCCTGAAGCCACCAGAGAGGGCGGGACATTCTGCCTGCGGAGGGAGATGGAGACACTCCTTTGCTGACTGTGGAAGAATGGCTGTAGACGTTCCCATCTGCTTTGTCTTACTTCCTCTTGGGAGCAAGCTGGGCACAAGGTAGTGTCTACACCATGCAGCTTCTCTGCTTCTGCTCTCTGGGGATTCCCCAGAGGAGGGAGGCCTGCCCGGGGCTGGGGTTGCCTCTTCCTGTGTGGGTGAGTGTGCCTGGCTCTGGGGTTCCTCTGCCTCTGGGCTCCCCTCCAATCTAGCCTCTGTCAGTAACAAAGTGCACACTTTGCTTCCATCTGTCCTAGTCTGTATTGTACAAAAGAGGAAAGGGGGTTGCACTTACTGAGGTTGATTTAATCTTCCAATACCGATGAGCTCCCTTGAATTCTGTCTTTTCCAGCTTCTAGTTTACTTATGCCTTGCTTACGATCAGGACTCTCCCACTGTTTCTTGAATTGTTCCCTGGAGTAGGGCTTTTGGCTGAGGTTATTGTAAGTCCATGGTGTTCACAGACTATGCCTCTGAGGCTCTAGTTTTAGAAAGAGACTAGGAGGTGAACTCCCCCAATAAGCATTCTATACGTATCACAAATTCTAGGAGGGCAGGTGCCATCATTAGATGGCTGGGGTTGAAATCCCAACTGTGCATTATTAGCTCTGTGAATTCATCCACAGTACCTAGCCTCAGTTTCTTATTCTATATAATGGGGTATTGGCACACTTTTCTCGTGCTTCTATACATCAAGAGTGTGGCATATAGGATATACAAAATATAGCTGCATTGTTATTATAAATTAGAATTAAATCAGATGATCCCATTTCCTTAGAAAGAAAAAGTACACATAAAAACCCCATCTACTTTCTCAGTCACTCCTGGTGAGCTTTGTTTGACACAATCTTTTGTTTTTTTCTTTTGGTATCTTTTTGTGCTTGCGAGGTACGCACTGTGCCACTGAGCTAAATTCCTGGCCCTGTTTGATGCAATCTTTAAAGGACTAATTGTTCTTGTGACCACTCAGCATCTGCTCCAGATATCATTACAGCTGGAAAATGATAGCCAACCAAGAAAGTCCTCAAAGAGCAAGGCTCTGGGGTCAGACAAGGCTAAATTTGAAGCTGTGTCCTCCAAATCCACTCACATATCTTCTCTGAACTTCACTTACCCCTTTTAGAAGAAACACGATCACACTTATGTATAGTACAATATTTTGAGATTTGGTAAGATAGTTTAGCTGAAAGCACTCACAATACAAGGTCAAAGTGTTTTGAATGGCTGAATACATGGACTGTTCCTTCAAGCCACTGGTTTCACATAGTGCTGTTCACTAGAGCTGTTGTTGTTTTATATGTTAACTTGTGTTCACTTACAAAGACAGTGACCATGAAAGGACAGAACAGTAAGAAGAGACACTCTGTTCGGCATCCATCACGGTGACAGAGGCACTGGCTGGGGACGAGGTATAGTCATCTCCTGGGACATGCATCCATGACCTATTCCTTTCAACTAGGTCCTAGGTCCCAAGTTTCTATCACCTTCTAATAATGTTGCAAACAATCACCAATGGTAGTTCGGCATCCATCACGGTGACAGAGGCACTGGCTGGGGATGAGGTATAGTCATCTCCTGGGACATGCATCCATGACCTATTCCTTTCAACTAGGTCCTAGGTCCCAAGTTTCTATCACCTTCTAATAATGTTGCAAACAATCACCAATGGTTCTAACGGATGAAAGTACTTGAGCCTTTGGGGCACACTCTGATGTTCTTCCCTGCCCCCACCAAAGCTCGTGTCCACCTCATAACGCAGAATGCATTTAGGTCATCCTTAACAGGGTCCAAAATCTTAACACTACCAGTTACATACTCAAGTCCAGAGTCTCCTACGACACTTAAAGCAGCTCATCAGTGAGCCCCAGCAAAATTCAAACAGCAGTTACATCCTTCCAACATAAAATGGTGAGACAGGCATAGAGTAAATAAATATTCCCATTTCACAAGCGGGCCTGATGCATGTAATGCAAGGATCAGATATAAGCAAAACTGAAATCCAGCAGGGAGGAGATTAAATTCTGTAGCTTCATATCCAGTGTCTGGGCCATGGGGTAGCTGGGTGAGGGCCACACAGGATTCAAACAGTACCTGCGGCCTTGCTGGTTGCAGACCATATGCCCTCTCTCGAGGCTGGCTCTTCTCAGTGCCTTCAGCTGTCCCCAGCAGATATTCCACGTTCTTGGAATGTTCCGTATTCCTGGGATCTCAATCACAGCTTCAGCCTCACTCTCACAGCTTCTTGTATGAATGCCAAGGTTGCCTACAAGGCCTCAGACCCTGTCACACGTTGCCTGACTTCCCAGACCTTCCTTTGAAATCTCTGTGTGAGGTTTTGTGTCTCTGAACTCTTGCATTGTGCATGCCTGCAAACCGAGGTCATGTGGATAACACCAAGGTCTGCTGCCAGCAGGAGCAGTAGCTGGGCCCATTTGGTCTGCAGTTGCAATGGCCTCTGAGTGACTGGACATTTGAGCCCACGGAAATGAATCCTGGAGAAACAACTTCATAGGCTGCTCTGTGAAGCAGGGTGCCCTGTCTCCCTCTTCTCAAAGAAAATCTTTAAAGACTAAATTTTATAGCCTTCAGCCTGCAATGAGAGTGGTCTGGCCAATTCATCAAATGCCTGGAAGCTATCTTTTTTATTGTCCCAGTGCAAAGTACTTGCTTTCTATTTTAATGATGCTAATCTCTTTAGCAACTACATCTTCCTTGGACTCAACAATAAACATACTTCTTTACTGGCAAAATAGTGAGTTTTCCAAATCAGTCTTTGGTTTTTGTTCCCCATTCTCGTTATAAATCTGGGTAAGAGAAGATGCTCATGCCGCAGGCCTGCTGTGCTGCCTTGAAATTTTCCCAGCCAGATAAAATAATCCTTCACTCATTAAACTCAACCACACACAGTCTCAGGACTTGGACAAAAGGTAGACAAGTTCCTTGCCAAAATGTAATGAGAATGACTTCTCCTGAAATTTCCAGTAGAGTCTGTGTTTCCATCTGAAATGTTGGGAGTACAGACTTTACTTTCCACATTCCTGCGGCATTCTGGTGCTCTGAGCTCCCAGCAAAGCTTCACGTCCAACATTCCAGGGCTTCTCTAGCCTACATCTCCCAAATTTTCCAAATTCCTTTCACCAGCCAGTTCCAAAATCTTCTGTGCTACATGCTCAGGTACAGTCACAGCATTGGCTATGCTTTTCAGCCCCAATTGCCTGTGTTTGTCGGCTTTCTCCCTGTGATAAAATGCCCAACACACTCACACATGCACACACACACACACACACACACACACACACACACACACAAAGGAAAAAAAACATAGAAAAAAATATATTTTGGTGCATGAATCCTTAGATTTTAACCCATGATTAGCTGGCTTCATTGCTGGGGTCTCTGGTAAGGCAGCAGGAGCGTAGCACAAGGGACAGGGGTATTTTCTAGGGACAAATGCTTACCGCCCTCTCCCTTTGACTGGGCCCCCATCTCCTATGTTTCCATCACTTCCCAAAAATGCCATCAAAGTGTGAATCTATAGATGAGTCAATCCAATGATAATCTAGAGCCTTCAGGAGCCAATAACCATCTAAAAGCCCATTTCTAGACATTTCTGTATGGAGACCAGACCTTGAATACATAAGTGTTTGGATGATACCTCACATGTAAACCATAGCACTCTTCATGGACAAACAACTGGCCCATTTCCTTCTGAAAAGTCACGATTGAGGGGTGTTCTCTATGCAGAACTCATTCTTTTTTCTTCTTCTAAGTTCACCATTTCTACTCCATTCAGAGTAGGAATTTACTGTTCATGCTGAAGCACATCATGATCCTTTTCTATCATAGCTGTGCCTGATATAGGTACAACAATGCTTACTCTTACCAGAGACATCCACCTCCTATTCCCAGAAACTCTGAGTATGTTACTTTACATGGCACTATGGGTTGAACTTTATGTACCCCAAATTCATACAAAGTTACAGCCCCCAGGAACCACATTATGCGGTTATGTTTGAAGATCCGGTCTTCGTAGAGGTAGAGGTGATTAAAGTAAGACAAGGGCCCGGCAGGGAGTCCTCTGCCAATATAATCGGAATTTGTGTAAAGAGGGAAAAATGAATCCAGAGAAATGAACAAAGGAAGACAAAGTGAAGACACAGGAAGAAGGAAGCCCCCTGACAGCCAAGGAGGGAGACCTGGAACAAATTCCTCCTCACAGCCCTCAGAATAATCAGACACTGCTCATACCTTCACTGTAGACTTTTGGTCCGCAGAACTAAGTGATAATAAATCTCTGTGGCTCAGCCAGCTAGTCTGCAGCATCACACTATGGCACCCATAACAAGTTTTTCTGGATCCATAAAGCATTTCTTGTTATTTGGCAAAATGAAATGAAATTTATGGTTGTTTCTAAGGACATTGACTTCATGATGCCTATTTTTACCCAGGTGCACTGTTTCTGTCTCCTGTGTGTACAGGACACCTTCCCATTCAAATGTCAAATCTCAGCTTATACTTATTCAATACACACACTCAAGTCATTTTATTGTGAATCTCAATTGAAATGATGCATGTGTGAGTGTATCAGTCATATATGCTGTGCAACAAATTACCTCCATGATTCATGACTTTAAACAGCAGTTGACTTTAAACAATATTCTTTCATCACCTAGAAGTTTCTGGGGGCCAGCAGCCTGGCTTGACATAGCTGGATCTTTGGGTGTTAGTGTCTTCAGCCATGTCAAATGTGTTGATCATAGCTCCTAAGGCTCACTGGGCGAGGGTTGGTGAGACTAGGCCTCCTTACCCAGGTTGTTGAAATGGGGTGGGGGGGCTGACTCTGTAGCTGTTCCAGAGCCCGTTCTTAATTCTTTGCCATGTGCACTTGTCATACAGCAGCTCATAACATGGCAGCTGGCTTCATCAGTGTGAGAGGTGACATAGAAAAAGAGGCCATCCAAGATAGATGCCATGGTGGTTTTGCAACCTTATCTCAGAGGCGATGTCTTTTCACACTTGACATTTTCTATTTGTTGGAAACAAGTCAACAGGTCTAGTCCTCATGCAAGGGGCAGAGGTTTCTTAAGAGCACAGGTGGGATGGGATGGGTGGAGCCTGTTGCAGAGGCTGCCCACCACAGGAGGAAAGCGGGAATGAGCAGGCAGTGACACAAGAACCATCAATCAAGTAGACCCTAAATGTCATACACATTAAGATAAAAAAAAACAGCAAACAGAAAAGTGAAATAATAATAATAATAATAATAATAATAATAATAATAATGGCACTGAAATCTTTGAAACAGCACTCTGAAGTTAACTTTTACAACATTCAATGACTTTCACGTGACCTTCCACCAAGTATTTACAATGGAGGGTGATATTTTAATAAAGTTTTAAAAACCTCTGAATCAACTGTTGAGTCACTTATCAATTAATGAGTCATTTAATCAGTCCAGGGATGTATCCTGCTGTGCTGTGAGCCGCCCTTAAGGTGTGGGTCACAGTTACAGCAAGACGTCCCCTTTGCATTCAGGTGTGGAGGAGTTCTGCTTTCCCCTGCTGTTCATGGAAGGGAGGCTTTGCAAAGGGAGTCAGAGAACACTGGGGAGGATGGCAGACTGAAAACACGAAGAGAGAGGAGCATTTGCCGGCCCAAAGCAGCATATGAAAGAATGGTATGTTGTCATTGATTCTCCAAATCATGGGATTCAAGGCTTAAGTCAGATGCTTAAAGTTTACTTTTAAATTTGTTTTATCATAATGTACTATTTGTTTAACACAGCTAGTTGGAAAAATTACCCTCAAATAGAAAGAAAAATAAAAAGATACCATTAATTCTACTATCTAGAGGCAATCCCTAGATGGACTGATTAAATAATGTAAGAATTAAAATAAGAAAGTTGAAATTGCTTATTGTACCTGTGTACTTACAAGCCTTTAATATTTAAAGTTGCTGGTGCTTAACTTTAAGTGTAACACTTATTGTATATGTAGAGTCTTATTTTTTAGACCTAAGTGCAGTTAGGGGAAAGGATTTTCATTCTGAAAAGTTAAGTAGTGCGTAATACTTCGATATTTGCTTTAGAAAGAAAGTTTAACATTTCCATGTTTATTCATGGAGTTCTGAAGAAGGGTACGCAATAGATCAAACTCTTGCTTTTATCTAATTTTTCAGCGAGGATTTAAAAAGTGTTTCCCGAAGTACACACAGTCTTTCCTCAACCACTGACCCACTCCAGGGGTTCCGTACTCTTCACCTCTCCTCATCAGCACATCTCCCTCCTTCCCCAAAGACATCACCATCCTCAGTTTTGAAATTGGAGCTCATTCACAAACATTTTTTAAAATGCCACTCTACTGTGTCCTTCTGTATCTCTGTCTTTTTGCCAACATTAGTCATAAAACTCACCCCTGTTGTTGCGTGTCACTGAAGTTCCTTTTTATTGCTGAGGACTCTAATATCATAACAACATAACAGATACTCTTAGTCCTCTTTCTGAGGACGATAGTGTGCTTCTGGTTTAGAAGTTTCACAAAGCACGTGTCTATGAATATTCTTCAATAAAGTTTGGTGCCAGTTGCAAATGTTTGTATTCTCTGTACACCTATGAGTGAGGTTGCTATAACACAGGACTACATTACCAAACTTAATGGTTGTGTTGAATGTTTTCTTAATAGGGCGGATCAACGTATGCTCCATCCGTGGTGTGTTTCTGCTGCTTCTCCAAACGTGGAATGACCAGTCTGATTCTAGCCACTCTGTTGACTCTCTGCAGTGTGCCATTTGGTTCTAACTTGGATCTTTGTGGTAACAAAGGGGCTTGAGCTCTCATGCTCACGTCTAATGGCTATTCGGATAATGCCTAAGTCAGCTTTCCAGTGTCGTGCTGCTCAGCATTCTGTTATTGTGACAGACACCTAAGGAAAACACAGAAAAGGAGGAAAGCTTTATTTCACTCTGGGTTTCAGAGGTTTCAGTCCACAGTTGGCTGAGTTCACTGAATTTTAAACTGGTGTTGAGGTGAAGTGTCCAAGGTGGAAGGGCATGGAAAAGCAAATCTACCGATCCCAGCCAGGAAGGAAAGAAGGGGACGGCGCAGAGAGGGAGGGTTTGGGGAGAAGTTATGTCCTTTAAAGCCTCGACCCTGGTGACCTGCTCTCTAACTGCCTCACCTCTGAACAGTCTTCCACCTCCTAACAGCCCATTAAACTATGAGTCAAAGAATGGATCGCTCCATCGATGAGGTCAGAGCCATCCCCACCTATCACTGCCCGCCCACTCCACATCCGAACACTGCTGCATTCTGATTCCAGCTTCCACACAGGAGCTGACAGTGGCCACCGAAGGTCCAAATCGTGACATGGAGCCTCTTTTAGGCAGCGTTATTTGTGTCTTTCTTTTCCTACTTACTTGTTCGTCTTTTTGTTACCGGTGTTTAGAAGCTTCTTATATGGTTGAGGCAAGTTACCGTGCCTTATATTTCCTTATATGCAAAATGGGAAAGAGAGTGATGTCTGTGTCATAGGATATGATTGCAACAATTATGTGGGATAATGCAAGCGAAACCTGAGACCTGTGTGTGGCACATGGTGTTTTTTAGTCACTGTTCCATCACTGGGACGAAATACTCAGCACCCACAACTTAAAGGAAGAGAGATTTATTTTGGCTCACGGATTCTGGAGGATTCAGTCCGTGGTCTGCTCCTCCAAGGCAGAGTGAGCACGGAGGAAGGGCAGTGTTGAGAAGAGCTGCTCCGCCCACGACAGCGCGGAAGAAGAGAGGGACGGGAAGAGCTGGGGGGTAAGAGTCACTCTTCCAGGTAAAAGCCCTGGTGGCCCATCTGGCCTCACCCAGCTTGGCCTCTCCTCTGAACAGCATTCAGTGACAAGTACAGGCTGATCCTAACCTGCTACGCAATCACCTTTCAAACACGTGAGACTCTGGGGGGACATTTGATATCTAAACCATAGTACAGTACGATCAGCGCTCAATATTATTGTCATTAGCCAGGATCACGCTGCCAGCATCTGTGGGCACCGAACCCTAGCCAGGCCTCCCGACTTCCGTTCACCGCATTGAACCCTGCACGGAAGGACCTTCTCTCACTCAGACTCATCACCTCACCCCTGCTCATGCCCCCCGCGGGCTCCCGCACCAGCATCAGAGGCACATGCTGTTGTGCTGCTATCAGGACCCAACATTACTTTAAAACACTGCGATCAGGTTCTTCTGGATAGGAAAAAAAGGTGGTTTTTAGACTGAAAAATCCTGGAAAACATTCATTCTCACAGACTCTGCATAGTGCATGTGGCACTTGGCATGTGCATTCCAAAATTTTAAAGACAGGTATTGCACCAGAAGAGAAAAAGAAACAAAACAAAACTGATCCCTAAACCCAAAATGCATTAAATATTAAAGGCTATTCAACGTGAGCAATGAAGTGTTTCAGGCTAAATGCCCATTCTTGCCTCACTCATCCCACTTTTCCTGATACACCGGCCACACACAAGAAAAAAATGACCAAATTTTCTCTTCTATCCTACTGGGAGTCGCTTTGCTCCTGGTGGTCAGACAATAACATTTTCTTATAAATAAACAAATTTTAATCAGCCTTATTTTTCCCCTTCCACCTGTGGAATTTTCCTCAGTTTATAAACGAATTCTGTTTTGGGGAAGAAAAATCGTGAGTGTCGTAAGTTTGCTTTTGTCGCCAAATTCAACAACAACCATTCACTTAGTCCTCAGCGAGGAAGCCACTAATAACTTCCTTCCAAATCCTTTAGTTAAATTTAGTTCCTCTCCCCCCCTCAGGATTAATTCATTCTTCCTCCCAGATTAATGCAGCTCTTCATAGTTGTAATTTCTCAACTGTTAAATTTCAGAAGCTGCATCTACTGAAAATGCCTTTTTAGCCTAAGGAGAAATCGGACCCTTCAGTATTTCCACTACGGGCTTTAATTCCATCTTTTGGTTGCATTCAAAGCCCTATAATTGCTTATCCTTAGAACAGCCCCTAACCCCACCAAACAGGGACAACAAAAGCACGACTGTCCACTTTAGGATTTTTTTTTCTCTTTTTTTTTTGCACATTAAATAGTCCTATCTACTCTGCCATCTCCTATGGCTTCAACGCGTCAAGTTCTTGGACTTTAGCTTCGCAGTTGCCCTCACTGAGCCACGTTCCTCTGAGAAGGTGAGAGAGGCAAAGAGCACCACCTCCCGTGTGTCCTCAGAGTAGCATTGAGGAAGGGTGGTGCCTTCCCTCCCGCTAGGTCTGACTTCTGATGTCTTCTGATGCAGGCCAAACTGCCTTCGCTATTCTTGACAGCCACCTCGTGGTGAGGCTGCGTCATCCAGCCTGCCACATCCCTTGAGCCTTATTCACAGCCTTTGACACCCAGTGCTGCTGCCTTCACTTGTACGGTTGGTTCACGGGACCCAAATGTTGACCCTTAGACTCTTCCTTGCTAGGTTGCTCACACCGTTTCATCTGCTTTTCAGGTCCCAGCTACTTGACGAAACAAAGGTTTTTACTTCTGGGAAAGAGATTCAGTAGGGAGGAAACAGAAAGGAGAAACTGGTTGGGGATTTAGCTCAGTGGTTCTGCCACCTGCTTCGCAAGTACAAGGACCCAAGTTCGATCCCTGGTACCAAAACAAACAAACAAACAGTAAAACAAAACAAAAAACAGAGAAACAAACCCCTCCTAGTGTGACTAGAAATTTATCTGATCCAGCAGCCTGTTCCTAAATTTTGCGAGGCAGCTTGTTGTTAAACCTGTGAAGTCTGTTTAACTTTTCAAGGATAAAACTATTACATTGATGTCAATGATCGCTTCTGCCTGTGTAGGGCAGAGAGACTCTAAGGAGGCCCCTGACCCCAGTCTCCTGCTAATCACACCCTTAAATCATCCTTGATTATAATACTCGAGTGTTGGCATGTTCTAGAATTTCATTCTGAGCAATAGAATTTGGACAAGGTGCTAGAATGTATGTGATTGCAGGCAATATTCAGGTTACAGGAGATTTTAGCATCAACTTGTTAGGAGCCTTTTCTCCTTACCTACGAAGCACCAAGGACCCACGTTGTGAGATGAACTACAGAAGAGACCTCATGGCAGGGGAACGAAAGGCAGCTTCTAACTGACTGGGAGCAGTGCGGTGTGGTCCTTACTCTGACAGCTTGGAAGACCTGCAGCAGGCGACGAGTAGCCACACGGAGGCTTCTGCAGTCAAATGTTCAAGTCAAGTGTTCAACTCTTGTGACCTCTTATTTGAAAATTTCTGATGAGACTTGGAAGTCGAGGAGCCAACAAAGGCAGATGTAGCTTACGACCCTCACACAACGATAGAATAAACATGTGGTGTTTCAGCTACTGCACGTGTTGTAATATATTATCCATCTATATTCAACTAAGATATGATGAAATCAGGTGACAGAAACTAAATCCAACTGTAAGCCATAATATCCTGAGGCTCACTGTTGCTTTTGGATTTGGTGGATCGGGCTGGCTTACAGAACCTTCAGTGGTTCACCTGTCCCACACTACTCGGGTACTGAAGGCTCTTGGTTATCATTACAATTACAGGTGTGTTTCTAGTATTTCCTAGACCGACTTTACACTCATCTTTAGTGGTCTCAGGTCTCAATTATTCCTGCCTTTTGGGTTGTTTGGTTCTGTACCTGGATCTGGATATGTGCTGTGTCATCTCCCGGCCTCCTACCTTTGATTCACCATTGTAGTAGGGCTCTCCAGTTAGATCCCTCTGCTGCCACAGGAGGCATTTCTGTCTTGTTTATGTTGTGTCTTCCAAGTCTGATTCTCCGCACTTTTCCTAAAAGACAAATACATCATGTACAAGCCCCTTGGAAAGTGAAGAACTTCTAACCAATAGTGTGAATTTTAGCACAATGATAAACATTTCTGGGAAATCTTTGATGTCATAAGGCTAATTTGAATCCTGCTCTTCATTTCTGATGGCAGAGATTGGACTCTGGGACTGAGGAAGGAGCTGATACTTGGCCTTTTTGATTGCACCAGTGTGCTGTTTTTACATATGCTGATCTTGCCTGGGAATGGTCTCACAGATTCTTCTGGTCCTGATGTACTTTAGCCTTTATGCTTGGAGAGGTGGAGGACCAAGATCCTGAGCACGTAGGTTTGCTCTTTAGAAAGAGTAGGAACTTTGAGTTAGAGAATGTGAGCTTTCTTCTAAATCTGATGTTTTAGTTCCAGGTAATTCCTTAGTTTAGCACTTAAGAGGTAAAATATATTATGAACAACTTGAATCATGGCAATGGATAGTCTAGAATTTAAGGAAACCAGAAATAGGCCTGAACTAACACTAATACAAACCCTTGATTTTACCACCAGAAAAATGGACACTCAGAAAGGTTTAGCGCTTGGAACCAAATTTATGCAGTTAATTAATGGCTGCAGTTAACTAATGGCTACAGCCAGCCTTGAATTCAGACAAGGTAGCCACAGTGTTCTTTGAAAGGCCATAAAGAAATAGAAGCGCAGAGAGGAAAACCAGTCACTTTCAATTACTTGAAGAAGGGTGAGTTCTAACACAGGAGGCTGGAACTGAGGGGGCAGGAATCAGTTCCAAGGAGCTTCAGTCTCTATCTCCTTGTCTAGACTTGCCGGAGTCCAGATAATAAACATAGATGAAAATAGCATCTGCTAAATCAAGAGAGAGCAGGGCCAAGAAGGACAAGGAGTCAGGCATAACCTTTCCCTAGGGGTGCCCTGCAGAGAGAGCGGGCCTCTTAGATGGAGTTTTGATACTGTGGGACTGTTTATTTCCTTTTTTGTGTTCTTCAACATTTTGTAAAAGGCCTATTGATTTTCATTATTTTTAATTCCAGCTTTGCCTCGGCTGTACAGTGGGGAATTAATTGAAAGGTCTTTTCTGTCTGGGCTGGAGCACTTGTGGAAAATTTTGACCTCTATCTGAGGTCAGTACAAAGGTGACAGAGTGAACCAGAGGAGGATGCTAGGCCAAGGAAAACTAAAAAATGAAGCTTCAGATTCAAGAGTTCCTTCTTTGGAGTGATATCAGTCCATGGCTGACTTTGGAGAGTCATTTGTGCTTCTAGTGCCTTTAGAGCCTAAGTTAAAAGGCTGCCTTTGTCAATGGCTCTCCATGATTCATCGTCTACTTCAACTCTTCCTTGTGTGTCCAGGAATCCTTAATGGGACTTACGCGTCTATACCCGCAGACTGCCTTGTCTTGGAGTTAGCTATGAGTGAGTTTATCCGGCCCACCAGATTACAGTTTTTCTCATTGTGGGGAAGGATCATGATACCGAAACATCTGCCCCTCACCACCCATTCTGTACGGCTAGCATGCTGCCTTGGGGTAGTAGATGACTAGAGGAATGCATTCTGCTGAGCGGCGGCAGCAGGCAGGAGAGTCAGGCTGGCCTGTGATCTCACCCGGGCTTCAGCCTGGCTTGCATGAGGGTTCACCGCGGCTTTTGCCCAGACATTTGACTTTTCTATGCCCCACTTCTCACATCTATAGGGAACCGTGTTAATAACGCTTACTTATTGGGACAGTGGGAGTATTAAGAGAGCTAATCCATGAAAAACACTTAAAACACTCTATTATTGTTACCCAGGGCACTCTTCCAATAGCAGTTTCCATGCATAGGGCTCTGTGTGCCTCTCTCTACACAAAAGCAGGAGTTCAGATTTGGTTCTTTCAGTGGATACATCTCAGTTTCTACCCGTGACATTCACTTCCAGCACTTCCGGGATAGCACGCCTAATATATCATCTCCTCTCTCTCTCTCTCTCTCTCTCTCTCTTTCTCTTTCATGCAGGAACACCTTCTAAAGCTGGTTTTGCCTCAACTTCTTTGATTTGACTCTGCCAGGGTCCCCTGAGCTCGAACTGTAGAAAATCATCCTGAATGATCATCCATCTCCTTTTACCTCTCTTCATTCAATACAAAAAGGGTTAGGATTTGAAAGGCATCACTGGGCCTACTTAGCTACCTCAATAATGATTCCTCATTTTATGTTCTGAAACACTGTGTGTGTGTGTGTGTGTGTGTGTGTGTGTGTGTGTGCCTATGTGTGCATGTGCACATGCTTATGCAAGAGATGAGGGATGGATTCTAGTCTCTGCTGTCTGAAGGTGAGAGAATTCCAGATAGATGCTCCTATTTTTTGTTCTGAGAGCTGGAGGTTAGAGCATTCCTTTGCGGGAAACTGACAGGTGATCATTACCAAGACATGACTTCCAGTGTGTTGAACACCTGTGGTCCTTCCTACTCAGCAGTTCTTGAAGAGTGATGTACAACCATAGTTTCTGCTGCTTCTGGGAGCTTTTAATAAATGCTCGCACTCCACCTCAGACCTCTGGAATCAAAATTCTGGGGGGTAGAGACCATAATCTTTGTTTCCCAAACCTTCCAGTGCAAAATTAAGAACCAAGACCCAAGTGACATTTTTTCAGAGATGGTAGGTACCACAAATGACAAAGTACTCCTTTACACATGACCCTTCCATACACACATCAGATAAGAAATTATGCAGTTGTGTTTCCAAAATTCCATGGAGACCAGAGTCTTATGGTGCAACTCATTAAAAAAAATAAAAACCCTCTCAGATTCCTTCACCTTGTAAACCAGAATCTGCAGGGGAAGAGCTTGAGGAAATGAATTTTGAACCAGAGTTATAAGAATCTTAACCATAAACTTTAATATGGTAGGAGAAGTAGCTCTATGCTGGGATGCTTTTCCTACTTAATGTGTTAGAGCTGAATGCTGAAGCATCAGAAACTGTTAGAAGAACAAAAATCTTACCAAAGTGTCCAGTCATTGTATCCTCATGAAATGAAAAGCTCAAATCTCTGCAAAATCCAGGAGCTACATAAATGTCTCTCCTTGCTTTTGCTTCCAGACATGTAAAGTTTTAGTCTCTGTCCCTTCCCTTTATTTCTCTCTTTTCCTGAGTCTCTGTGTGATGCTGAAATGAGATGTCTTTGATACCAGTGTATTAGCCACTCTTATCAGCCTTCCTTTTGCCCTTCAGTATCCTCACACTTGTGTCATCCTGACGTTATTGTTTCTATTTTCCTACCAAATTCCACTTAGACTCTCTTAGTGGTCTCTGCTGAGATACTCAATCCTGTGCTGAAAGTGGTTTCCACATGCTCTAAAGATTAAAGTTCTATAAAATGGAGTATTACTTAGCCATAAAGGATGAGAAACTGGAGACATTTACAGTTAAGTAGATGCACATTGAGGCCATATGCTTAAGTGAAATTGATAAGACACACGTGTAGGAAGAAAAGGTCTAAAAGAGTAGGGGAGGTGGGAGGGGTAGGGGAAAAGTAAGAAGGCAAAGGAAAAAATATGAGAAAAGGAAAAACATGGAAGCAATATCTTTGTAAACAAGGAAGCGTGGAGGGGGTGAAGGAAGGGCTGCGGAATGGGGAAAAATAAGAGCCAAGATATGTCATGTAAAAGTGCAAGATCCCAGAGACAAATGTAACTGTACTGCACACCTAAAATATACCAATAAACAAACAAAAAGTTCTACACATGGCCCAGAACCTCCTATCTGGCTCAGCCAGACTTCTTCAGAAGCAAATGAGTCAGGCAAACTTAGGTCCAAAGGGAGGTTATTGGGAAGCTTATTAGGAGCCTTTGGAAGAGGGAGCAAGGAGGACAGGGTGTCGATGTGGATAATCACCAGGGAGGCAGACCATTAAGACTGTGTGTAGTGCATTTCACAACAGCAGTATGACCGGCACGCTGTGGACAGCAGTGACCACTGTCACTACACGTTTAGTGATTACACTCTTGTGATTCAACTTCCGGAACTGTCAACTTGCTGAATCTTGTCCATGTGTCCATTTCCTGTAGACCCAGAGCATGATGGAGAGAACTAAGGATGCATCAACTTCTTTGGTGAGAACCGATGTTTCCTTGTCATCTCTCCCTCTGCTAGGAGTTTCCGAAAGGGAGATGGGGATAATAGGGAGAGGAAGTTGATTGTCAGAGAACCTAAAATTAATAAGCAATGCCGTGAGTGTGTTCCAGCCTCTCAAATCTCAAATATTTGGAAAAAAATATGTTACACAAGACTCAAAAGCTTTCCTGAACATAATTTACCAAAAAGAATTGCCTTCTTTTCTCTGAGTCTCTGCTTCCTCTACTTTTACCAGGGAAGATGCTTTCTTCAATGTTAAGAAAGTTCTAGGTGAACTTGTAAGAAGATAGGAAAAAGTAACTTTATGAATCATGGTAAAGGAAATTGGAATAAGTCGTATCCCTGAAAGACGGTGAATTAAAGCTACCAAAAATTTGTAGCAGCAAGTTTGAGTTCTGTCCATTCTATAACCATAAGGTCCACTTATTTCTTTAGATTTTGGGGGTCCTGGGAACATTTAACTAAAAACTTTCCCTGTATACTTTCCTCTATAAAAAATAATCCAAAAGAAAATTGACAAGAAGTTTTATACAGAAATAAATATTTATTTTGTCAGGATATATAACAGTCTCCAAGTTGGAAATCCTCTAAACAGGATGACACTCTATTCTGTGCTCACTTTATAGTGTAAAATCTTTGAAAGCATTTAAAATTAAGAAAATGCTTGCCAAAAAGTGAAGTGAAAAGTATAAATGCATTGAATGTTTTGTAAAATATAATCACAATTATATGGAATAAATTCAAGAAACCAAAACCTACCCAATGAGAAAGCATGAGTTAAAACTCAGAGCACTTTCTAACAGGCTTCTCGGTGATATATTTAAAGATACTTTGTATCAGTCTTTCCATTTGGTTTTGAGACCGGGTCTCACTGTGTAGGTTCAGACTGCCCTGGAACTCTCCATGTAGCCCAGGCTGGTCTTGAACTTGCAGTGATCCTCCTGCCTCAGCCTCCTCAGTGCTGGGATTACAGGCATGCGTCACCACACCCAGCTTCTTTCCATTTTTTTAATTTCAAAAATTTTCACATTGGGCATACATGAATTTCTTTATACCAAAATTAAATTAACGTTCATTAGCAACTGAAAAGAAAAGATTCTTGCTTGTCTGTGGACCATTCCCATTCATTGGGATCTACTGAATGAATAGTCTCCTGCTGAGGTCATCACAGGTGTCTGTAAGATCTTGTTACACACTTGTTTTAAGACCAGTGATTGTGTTGCCCAAATCATAGATGATTCCCTTCCTTGGGTTAACCAGTTTTTTACATTCTTTACTCTTTTTTTATTCTTTAGAAATGCATCAAAATTTCCATGACCAGAGGAAATCACAAAAAACAGATTTAAAATATCAATGTATTTTATATCCTATGTATTAATAACACTTATATAATACTATCATTTCTCCTTATTCAGAGTTGTAGTTTCCTGCAACAACCATGGTTGAAAAATGTTAATGGAAAAGTCAACAAGTAAACTATTCATAAGTTTTAAAATGTGGGCCATTCTGAGTAGCACGATGAAATCTCACACTGTCCTTTTCTCACATGCCACCTCTGATGTGTATTATCCCCTTGTCCAGTGTTTCCATCTATGTATGCTACCCACTCAGTCATGTAGGAGCTGTCTAGGTTACATCAACTTGAAAAATTGCTGTGTTTGTAGTCAAATGACTCTTATGTAGGTTTTGTTTATTTCACCTCACTTCCTCTCATTTTATAGGTATTTTACATTTCCTAGTGTAAAAAGTAGAATAAGTACAGTATAGTAAGACATTTAAATAGAGAAATAAAGAACACTTTCACATAATATTTAATAAAATATATTGATACACTATTCTGTTTATTATGAACTGTAATTGTTAATCTATTACCAGGTGATTAATAAAAAGATCAACTATTTTAGAAGTTAAATTTTCATAGGTATGGATGTTAGGGAAAAACAAGCACAGGTAGTACATACACGTTTTCAAACTATCCTTGGTTTTAGGTATCCACTTAGTATCTTGGAACATATTTTCCAAGAACAAAGGGAACCACTGCACCCACATTATTATGTCTTCTCTTTATAAAGTGCAGCAAGTCAGATGCCAGGCTATTGGGGCAGAAATCCAGCTCAGTAGCTGCCTGGCAAGCAGGAGGCACTGGGTTTGATTCCTGGTACAAAAAAAAAAAAAAAAAAAAAAAAAAAAAAAAAAAAAAAAAAAAAAAAAAAAAAAAAAAAAAAAAAAAAATTTCTTTACTAGGAAATTAAACAAGATGGGCAGATATCTCTTTCAGGGACTTGGATATACCTAATTTAGTTCTAGCTTTATGCATGATGCCTTAAGGAAGAAATGTAAAATCTTGATGTGTTTATTAATTTCGTATTTCTTTTTCTTTCAAAAATAAAGAAAAAAATGAATGTATGGTGAGTATTGGTCAACTTTGAGGTTATAAAAAGAACATTTCCAGGAGAATTTTCTTAACTCTTGTTAATCTAAATTCAGTGGACAAACTTCAGCATCAGCACTGTTAAATGTGGATTCTCAAGCCTCACTCCAGACCTGTGCACTAAGCTTTGAGAAACACTCTTCTACAAAGTGAAGCTTTTGGCTTTTCCCAGTACAGCTTTCTTTTGCCACCATTAATTCAAATTCTGTTTGTCATAATCCTCACATCAGCTTTTACCTACTGAACAAAACATTACAAACTTAGAAATCATTTAAAGAACTCAGTGAGAAAAAACAGCGACTCATTTAAAATTGGAGAAAAGTTTTAAACAGGTATTTCACTGATGATAATAATATATGACTGCAAGAAGTATATGAAACGATGCTAAATATTATTAGACATTAAAACAATATAAGTGAAAACCACAATGGAATGACACTACACAGTTATTAGAATGATAATAATAAACACTGATAAAAGTATACATCACTACACATTGATGAGGTTGTAGACCAATTAGTTAGCTTATATATTTTAGGCAGGAATATAGAATGATGCTTTCACTTTGGAAAGCAGTTTGACAGTTTCTTACAAAGATATACCTTATCATCAAAAGATTCAGCAATACTGTCACTAAATATTTGTCTAAGCTAAGTGAAAAATATGTGACACAAAACATGCATATGAACATTTATAGTAGTTCTGTTGCTCATTGCCCAAACAATATCAAAGGCCAAACAAGGAACAAATTACTTATATATGTGATGCATACAATAACGTGATCGATTCTCAGATGCATTCTACATGACGTTAAGAGAATAATGGCAGGCTTCCATTTGTGTGATATTCTGAAAGGACAAAGCTACGGGGATGCAGAACAGGGCGTGGCTGCTCAGGATTCAAAGTGAGAGCAGGTGGAGCATTGGGTCACAGAGGGACCGTTGTAGCTGTGTCGCTGGATCCTCCATGGTCGTGGTGTCGCTAGCTTAGGCACACACCAAATCTCATAATACTATAACTGAAAGAGTATATTTTAATGCATGTAAGTAGAAAAATGTATGAAAGCCATTTCTTGTTTTCCAGTGAGATATAGCTTGCGCAGAGCTAAGGATTGATGCCGCAGGGTGACAATGGTGACAGGAAGTTCTGGGCCCTCACCCCTTCCCACATCACCCATCACATTGTCTTGGACCAGTGCAGAGTGCTCTGTTCGGCAGTTTTCAGCCTCCCTCCTTGATTGTGCACATTTCTTTGAGCTGTGTTCTCTTCCCCTGTAAATAAGGCCTGACCTATAAAACGCAAGAGGGAATGGGAGCATACAAATTTGCATACTATAATTAAATTGCTGTATCATGAGCTTTCTTTTTTTGGCTGTGTAGGAATGGAAACAAAGGTGAGCCTCTGATTCAGGGTTTGCAGTGTTATCCCTAGGAAGTGAAATGGATAACATAGTCCGGGAAGGCTTGTGTGCCTCACTGCCTTGATGCAACCCGGGTTACATCCCTGAAGGGTGAAGCACCTGGCCTCACGGTTCTTCTTGGACTGGCCTTTGCCTCAGGTAAGTGGGGCCTCTTCTGTTGGGTCCTTTCCATACAGGTGTGCAGAGAAAGCTAGGAGCCTGGCTCAGGGGTGACTGGCTGCTTCTTATCCATGGAATCCGTCATCACATCTGGAACTCTGCAGAATGTGGCAGACCGAGCGCTGAGCTGGAAACTCATGACTCACAGACTTTCTGAGGACTTCTCTGCCTTCACCTGGGTGATCACCTTAACTGCTTACATCCCCGTTATCAGAGTAGGAAATCGATAAAAAGATTCCGCACAACTTATGCATGGCTCACCCCATTTAACACTGTAGCATTTAGGGTCAGATGAGAAAAGGCTGGCTGAGTTTTTGTTTGTTTGTTTTGTTTTTTTCCATTCTTTCTGTAGGAGTGAAGGAGTTCTCAGCTCTGTTCCCCACCTTTACATTCATGTTAATTTATTTTTCCTGCAGTGCTAGGAATCAAACCCAAGGCTTGATGCCCGCTGAGCAAGGGATCTCTAACCTCAAAGATTCCACAATGGAGCTTGAGTCCTGACGTTTTCTTTGTAAAAATTTTTCCTTTTGTAAAAAAATATTTCAGTTGAGTTACATGAAGTCCACAGGTGGTAATAAGGTGGGTAAAGGTCATTTAGCCTGTAACTTACACCCTTAATAAATCAGATTTTAAGCTTTAAACTATATCTTTATAGGATTTGACTGTGCTGCTGTTTGAATCACATATAGAAGGAGCCAAACTGCTTTGCACATATTGAGGTTGAGGGAGAATAAATAGACACATTTTATGAAGTGCTTTTATTTCTTTAAGGTCAATAAAGTAATAACAAAGTCAGATTGTTCAATTGGACATGAAAAGAAAATAAAAATACAAGGAGACAATGACAGTTAAAGTTAGAGCGACCGATTGAAAGTCTGCTTTAGTCACCTTGAAGTGAAAATATTAAAGAAACTTATTCCCCTTAAAACTGAACTAGACATGGAATTGCAAACATCACGACTTCGAGCCAGCTCTGCCCCTAGTGTGGTCTAGTAATGGTGTCTTTCCCCCCCAGCACTTGTGGACGTATAGCATCCACATCTCATTGTTCTGTACTAAGGAGCTCTTGACATGAAGATAATTAAGGTTCCTTGGAGACCATACGATCCAGCCCTGGGGCAGGAAAAAATTGGAAATGTTTGTGAGCTGGAGTGGCAGGCAAAAGGCAAACAAGGAGAAGACAGGTGGAGACACAGCAGGCGCGGACGACCTGGACAGAGCATGAGCGGGTCGGTGCATCACGAGGCCGGCTGGCTTCAGAAGGAAGGGCTGGCACTGGGGTCCATCTCTCGTCTTCTGAAAACCAAGCCTCTGAATGGTTCAACCAACTGTATTGAGATACAAACTTATATAATGACTTCAATTGAAAATTGAGGCTAAAAGCTCCTGAGTAGTTTGTAATGGCACCATACCTAGGGTTAAAACCATTACTTAGCTTTTCATAGTCCTGGAGGCAGAGCGGTCCAAGATCTAAGGGCAGGCAGAGTGGGATCTTTCAGGGGCTAAAAGGGAGAATGTGTTCTAGCTCAATGGCAAACATCTTCCTGCCCCCTCCCCTGCTCTCTCCCCTCCCCCCGTCTCCTCCCCTTCTTCTCTCCCTCCCCTCCCCTCTCCTTCCTTTCTCTTTGAGCCACATCCCCAGACCTTTTATATGTTGAGACAGGGTCTCCCCCCTAAGTTGCTTAGTTGCCTTGGCTTGGCTTCAACTTGTGATCCTCCTGCCTTAGCAACTCAGAGTGCTGGGTTTGTAAGTGTGGTCCATCAGGTCTGACTGGATGTAGTAAATTTGATTTTTTGTTCGTACACAGCTCCCTCAGAACTTAAACTCCTAGCAATACTCTGGGGTGAGCAAGGAGTGAGGTCTTGGCGGCCCCCAGCCCAGACAGGCTGCGTGGTCCTTCGCATTGGGCCCTTCTCCTTCTCAGTTCTCAGGGCTCCTACTGACAAATCCCCAAGTAAAACAAGGAGGCTGACTTTCACTCAAATATATTCTACTTAATTCACTCTTCTGCAAGAGTAAGATCCTGGTGGTGTAGGAATTGTGACTGCTTCACGGGAGGTGGGATAGGGGGTGATGTTTAGCCACCAAGCTGACTCATATCAAAGCCCTCCCTAGAAATGCACACTGACGTTTACGCTTGTATGTATATAT